CAGTGATTGAGACTGGGCATCATGACACACATCTGTAATCCCAGAGCTTGGGAGGCTGAAAACAGGAGACTCACTATGAGTCCAATCTATGTTGTAAGGCTCTGTAGACCCTGTAGACCCTGTACTAAATATATTTTTTAAAAAGAAAAAAAATCCTGAGCTAAGTAGAAAACTTGTCCCTAAAGATATATTCCTACAAATATTATAATTCATTATTGCCTTACAAATGTCTAAGCAGTACAGGTCAGGATAAGGCAAATGTAAGAATGTACTTGCCTTAGGTATAAAACACCAGGACACATAAAAAAATGCAACAAATAAAATAATATTGAAATAAAACAATTTCAAACAGTAAACTAAGGCAAAATCAGTTCTCTGTAGCAGAGAACTCCCTCCAGAGTGGCTAGAGGCAAGACCCACCCAGCTGACCCAGAAGCACAACATCTTGCCAGAGTGGCTCAGCAGGTTCACTTCCAAGGGCTGCAGCAGGAAGAAGCGGAGCACAGCAGCCAGACCCAAGCCACACCCACCTGGGTGAGTTTGAACTTGGTAGAACCAGACCTGATGCTAAGGCAATATGCATCAAAGCTCTACACCAAATGTCAGAGGACAGTGCTACACAAACTGACAAAGAGAAGGACAAAAATGTATTCCCAGGCCCTGAGCCCACACACAACAAATTCAGGAGACACTAGCATAGAAGAAATTAGAAATCACACACCTGAAATCTCTGAAATGATACCATCTGAAGTAAAGAAAGAACTTCAGAAAGGTATAGAGGAAATCAAATCAGAAATAACTTCTGAAGTAAAAAAAGAAATGATAGCTATAATGAAAGAAGTACTAAGTTCTTCTAAAGAAGACACTGATAAAAATATAGAGGAGAACTGAAAAATAATGGAATCCTTGACTAAGCAATATAGGAAAGAAACAGAATGCATGAAGCAGATTCAAAGTGATATACAGGAATTAAAACCTCAATCGCAAGCTGGCAAAACTGTTTGAATGAAAGTGAAGATAAAGTGTCAGACCTTGAAGACACCATTGCAGCTAGTGAGAAGATAAGAAAAGATCTCTCAGAAACAACTAGGATGCAGGAAAAAATAATTCAGCATCTGCAAGACGATGCAAAGATGAACAATGTAAGACTAATAGGCATCAATGAGAAGGAAGGAGTCAATACAAATGATATAAAAAGAATATGGGCAGAAGT